AGATAAATGGATAGATAAATGGATAGATAAATGGATAGATAGATCGATAGATAGATAGATAGATATAGATATATAAAGTTTTGTATTTTTTCATTTTCATAACATATAATCACATGTATACTATTACATAGCCAACATCGTATTGTATTATTAAAGGTTTACATCAGTTCATCTTACCATCAACTCCCAAAAACAATTATTGGCTCTTCTGCTCTCCATACACCATATTTGTACCTTATCCATCTCTTTCTTCTCCCTCTCTCCTCCTCCTCCCTTACTTCCTTTCTTCCCTCTGTCATCCTTCTCTTCTCTACTTCCCCTTCCTCTCTCCTCTCTTCCCTTTCCACTCCTTCTTTCTCTCCTCCTCTTCCCCCCGCCCTCTCTCCTATCCCTCTCTTCTTCCCTTAACGTTGTCCTCTACTTCATCTCATTTACTTGGTGTATTTCAGCTTCTGAGCAAGCTCCATTTTATGTTGATGGTATTTATAATTCATTATTAAGAGTTCACCATGGTTCTATGGTAAGGTTCCCCAACATGTTTCAACCATAGGTATACGTCACATTTTGAAAACACATTCAGGCTTCCTCAAATTGGTATTCTACTACATTGATAGTGATTGTGTTAAAGTATCAAATTTAAATATTAATATCCTGGTTATGTCCCCATGGAATCGATGGATTGTTCCTTATATTAGGTCTACTTACCGTTTCCATCTTTGGGGAGCAAGTGAATTTGCCAGTTTGCATGTGGAAAGGAGACCACCAGGACATCTCACAGATAGAAAAATAGGCTCCAGATTTCCCCTCTCATTATTCCACTGCCTTAGAGATTCACACTATATTAAACACACACTAGAAACAAGGTCACTTAAAATCAGCCTTTATTAATCTATTTGGCAATTGTGTTATATATACTTTCTGTGTGTGTGTATTAAGCCCAAAGATAAAAGAGAGGAAAAAAGCTGACACGTCATCAACCAACGGAGGATCTGGGTCCTACGGACTCGCCCTCTCGGCACAAAGAAGGCTGCCTCTTTTAAGAGAAGACACACGAACATGCGTGCAGCAATTAATTGTGGGGCAAAGGGGAAGGGGGGACGGGGGAAGAGCAGCTCAGAGAAAAGACAGAAGGCTTGTTGTCTCCATTAATTTGATTCAATAAATTATCATCATCTTCCCCAACAGCTCTGGGGGAGGGGGGAGGAAATGCAGAGGATTTTCTAGCTCGGACCCCAGGCAACTGGGCAGGGAGACGAACCCCAGAGAGGAAACTCGACACAGAATACTTTCTCCCTCCCTCCCTCCCTCCCTCTTTTTCCCTTTCCTTCCTCCGATTGGCTGGTGGCCAATTGTCTCCTGAGCCCCAAAGCCTGGCGTGAGCAGTGTTTCGTCCAATGGGCCGTGTCGAAGGGTCTGGGACCGAAGAGGCAGGGGCTCATTGGCCGGCGCAAACCGCTAGGGGCATTTCCGCGGAGGACAAATGGTGGAGGTTAATGGATGGGGGCGGAACCCTGGGGACAAACAAGGGGCGGGGCGAACAGTCCCAGACTCCCCTCTGATGCTATTTCTGCCTTGTTTTGTTCCTGCCTGTTTCTTGAGTTCATATTGATTTATTATCCCCAATAGTAAAATGGGAGCAAAGCCAGGGAATAAAACTAATCACATTACTCATAATTAAGGGCAGGCTCACCAATCAAGGCAACATGATTCAATAGGATTATAAGGGGGGGGCAAAACAGACAGGATACAGATTGGTAATGGGAGCAGCATAGGTTTAGTTATCAAATGTATTTGCTACCAATCCTACAGTTTGAGCCAAAAAAAACCCCCAAATTATGCTGACGACGTTTTTATTTATTTCTTTATCAAATTCAGAGGCTGTTCATCTCACAAAACAACTCTGTTTTATGTTGGCATAGAGGACAGCAGTGTGGAAATGAGCACTTATCCTAGTCGAAAAGATTACATTGCAAATAAATTCCTGAGGAGGTGATGCCATATAAAAAGTAGAACAGTGATTAGAAAAGAACCAAGTGTGTCAGTGGGGAAAGTTTCTGTAATTAATTAGGGAATAATTGCCTTCCTCGGTCAACAGCATTTAGCCTAATTTCAGGCTATCGGACCATAATGTCTCCATTTGGAAACCATCAGCAAATATTTTTATCACAAGTGCGACTTCATTTCCTTTCAAGCGGAAGTGGGCTACTGCCAGTTCAGAGCAGTTTGGGCAAAACCGGTATTTCCGACCAGCGGCTGAGCCAGCCTACCTGCCCCAGCGCTATCCCGCCCTATATAATCGCCATGTTTTTGATGCCACCTGCATTTTCGGTTCTGGGCAAACCGGTTGTTAATATTATGTGGCCCCCACCTCTGCTTTCAAGCCTGATCTCATTTCTAATATTAAGTGCTTTTACCCCACATTAATTTCACATGGTTAGTATTGAGTTCAGGTTTGCCATTGGGGTTTTTTGACGTCATTATTTTACTGCTGTTTTTGATATAAATCCTGAATCTTCTACACTACTCATGGTTAAAACAAAGGTCTATGTTAAATCTCCAGGGATTTCTCTTATTTAGATGAAATTGTGGGTCACACCCTTTCCTAGAAACTCCTACATTCATCCAGGTTGTTTCAGTCTCCTCTCCTGAGCACATCAATGTTATGGACAACCATAGTATTTCAATGAGCAAACATTGATGCATTAACAAGGCAATGTAAACCAAGTGTAAAAATATAACAAAACATCCCATTTCCTCTCAAGATCTATATGTTGAAATGGCTTTCCTGATCACTCACCTTACTCGTTATTCCATGGCTGCAGCAACAGAGAAATCACACATTCACAAACATGTTTACCCAATAATTCTGCAACTTAATAGTATAAGCTGTTTCCTTTCAGTTTGTATATTTAAATAGGGGATACCGTAAGTCACACTGAGTGATAAAAGATAAATATGCAGATGGCATATTTTTCATCCTATTATTTATTAGGCAGTGGATAAGCTTGTTGGCATTATCTCTCTTTGGTATGCTCTCCATTCCCCACATCTGTTCTCGTGTGTGGAGAGAACCTTCAAAGCAGATTCAGAGGGATTAGTATAAAAGGTATTTGCTCAATATTGGTTGCTACCTTTTCTGTTTATGTTACACTACAATATCTATATCATATTCCCATAAAAAACAAGTGCTGGTATATATGGTATGATCTCTAGCCTCACAGCATATTTGTATTTGAAATTGCAATAGTGCAGTTCTGTCTCTCCTGAGTTTTTGATGAGAATTCAGAAAATGGGGGAAACTTCATTCTTATTTTCTTTGTTTTCAATCAATAAAAGAAAACGATAAAGATAACCAGTTATATTTCAGATATAATAAATTAAGTTCCTCCATAATTAAATCATCTTTTAAAATATTTTTTAAATTGCTTTTATGTAAGCCGCCCGGAGTCCTTCGGGATTGGGCGGCATACAAATCTATTAAAATTACAAAATTACAAAAGCTCAGCTTTCCTAAGAACTGTTTTTTATTTATTTCTTTTGTGCAATATCTAGACATTTTTGTTGCGTAACAATGAAGACTTCTGACTTTTTACTCGATAGGAAGCTCTCCTAAGATGGCCTTATTCACAAGCAAATGAAGAATTTCACTGTTTACTATAATATAGTGGCAATTATGTTGTAAACCTTTAAAATAATGTTCAGTAAAATGCAGGATGAACTAACAGGAAAGCAAGTAGTGCTTTCAAAAATGTTAAAAAATGTTTTTTCTTAACTTGTAATATTCTTGCCAAATGTTTTTAATTTAGGATGAGCCAAGTTCTGGTATGGATCCTAACGCAAAGAGGCATTTATGGAAAATCATCACTGAGGAAGTGCAGAACCAACGTTCAGTGATACTTACTTCACACAGGTATAATACATTATCTGAGGCCCAATGAAAATGTTCAGATCTACATACAGTATAATATAGAATAGTTATAAAATAATATTTAAATAATAACATTATTGTGAGGTAAATAAATGCATTAAATAATAACAGTATATAATCATTTCTTTCTGCTTGCTTATTTGGTGTTTTGGCTTTGTTATATTTATTCAAGTTTAACTAGTAGAATAGAATATGAGGCCAACTACATGGGAAACAATGAGTCTCTGACCAGGAAGTCATATAAAGTGAGACACAGCCGACTCTCTAATGACTTTTACTCTCTTATCAGTATGTAAAATACAACTAAAATTTAAAATAGGAAATCAAGGTAAGGAAAAAGAGAGAGGAAAAAAATATGAGTTACAAGGAAAGAAAGAAAAAAAGGCATTGACTTCCGAGGGACATAGAGGGCAGGCAGCCATGTTGCCCGGGCTGCATGGGATTCAAGAGCAGTGTGCCATTTCCGGGAAGCCATCTGCCGCAGATGCCAACGGAAAGGCCACATTGCCAAGGTGTGCAGAACCTCCCAGCCCACCCCGTCCTAGCCAAGACCCATGGCTCAGCAGCGGAGACCAAACAACCCATGATCCGGCCAACAGCGGAATAGGCTGGAGTGGGGGAAGACTTGAATGCCCCACTCTGCACTTCTTCTGAGTGAATGTCTCTACTAAATAAATTGAACTCAGCAACTTTAATGTCCCCTTCTAACTTTGAAATCCAATGGATCTTATGGATCCTCAGAAGGCATGAAGGAACAGTCTTTATAAAATTGCATGTAAATAAAGCAAGAAAAAAACCACGATTGCACATAGGTGGTAGATTTACATTAATTAACAAACAGCTCCTATTGTCTTTAAATGAACTTTATAATGAAGTTGCATATGTTTAGTTTTTTAATGCCTTTGGACACAAAGAATTCATTATCTGATCTAGCTAAGTGATCTTCATCACAATAGAAGATGGGAAGACTATTCTTTTCTTTAAAACCAATAAATTCAACTCTATTCCTGGGTCCATATAGCACAACAGATTCATTGTTTGGCCAAGTGCAATATAGATGCATAGGACCCTTGCCCTTAGAGAAATCTACCCTGCAGGACTGGGGTGAACCACATTTGACAAGTTGAAGAAAACAGTTGGAGCAGGAGATTAGAATCACGGAGAATGGAACATTTAATTGAGTCCAACTCCCAATTTATGCAAGAATCCAAACTCATCCCAGACAGAGGGCTGCTTAGTCTGTACTTAAACACATCTGGCAGAGGAACTTAACTTGAAAATAGGTGTCACGACTGACTCATTACGCATCCCTACTCACAAACAGACAACAGTAATGTGATGGAGGAAGGAAGGCATTGGAATGTAAGGGAGCTCTGGAATGCAGGTGTGCTGCCTGGAAGCACAAGACAGACCCAAACCCAAAGGGAACGTCAAAGACAGACAGAAGCTGTTTCCAAAATAAAGCAAATGCAACCAGTTGTTGGACAATGGGAGGTCCAGGGAGCAAGGGGGGGAGGGGGGAGGAAAAAATTCCTATGCTGTTTGCATGTGAAAATGTCACAACTGGCTTTTCTACTTCTATACCCATAATAGCTTTTCAATAAAGTTATACTCTTGGAGGGGGCAAAAAATGTCCCGGGATGGTTGACAATAGGTTCTATTATTGAGTAGAAAGAGCACTAATTTTGAGTAATTGCTATTAAATTAATAGAAAACTCCTATAGGTAAACTTCTGGTATTTTCATCCTAAGAGAATTTTCCTCTTAATATTTGATTAGCCTATCAAGCAGTTTCAATACTTCTTCCAAACCTTGTGGAAAGTGATTCCTACTATCTTCTCCATGAGAAAATAATGCTTCTCATTATACCTGGATTGTATATTATCCTGCCTACTTTTCAGTCCCATTTTGCTGATTATTTATTGATCTATAAATTGGGCATATTTTTGAGAAAATTGCAAATGTGCTCTAATCATCAGGCATTTTAGTTGGAATTGAATTGAAAATGCAGTTCCTTTTGGTTTTCAGCATGGAAGAATGTGAGGCTCTCTGCACCCGCCTGGCTATCATGGTAAATGGAGAGTTCCGGTGCTTGGGCTCATTACAGCATATCAAAAGCAGGTTGGTAAAACGTTTCTCTTGTGACAAAGTCTCTTCCTTTGCCACCCAACTGAACAAGCAGTGAAGTGCATAAGAGCAATTTTTGCTCTAGGGGGGGAGATGGTACAAGAATTACCAAACAAATAATGTTTCAGTTTTATGGATAAGGGAACCACAAAGGTTCATATTTGGTGATATAATGAAGTTTTTGCATCCTATCACATCTTTGTATCGTAACTTAGATATTTAGAGCAAGACTTGTCACATTCAAGCATCAAAGGATGCGCATAGGACGCAGCATAGATAGCAACACTGCCTACACAAACCACGGATGTTGCATCACTTCGGCCATTCTAACTGCTATGTATTGAGACGGCCCCAACTGTGAACTTCCAACTCTTTTGGAGGAAAACCTAGAACATTCATAGTTGGGGGGGCTTTTTCGAGTAGTATGCTTGGTGAAGGCCCAGAGTGTGAATTATAAGGGTTTCCCTGCTGTTCTCCAGTTCCAGTTTGAGTCAGTAAATGCTGTTGTATCTATGCTGCTCTGTTCTTGCCTACTGCAGCCCGTGAGGCGATAGTGGCGATGAAGGTGGGATGCTGCAGATGAGAGAGCTGCTGCTAAGACAGAGACTGAAATTACTGGGTGTCAGACGGGGTAAAGAGCCCTGGTCTGACCACGCCCCCCACCCTGCCTGCCAGATGTACCTGAGGGATCCATCCCGGGGACTCCTAAGTGCAGCCCAGCTCCTCCTGCAGCAGTGGAGGCATTAACCAGCACCCCAGGGGGCTTCTCAAAATAGCTAAACTGGGAAGTCTCAGTGGGTTTGATATTACTCACCTGGAACAGTGGAGCTCATATGTTCTCCTGAGTAGACAACTATCTCTGGGCTAACCAGGTCACGGACGATGGGCCTGAAGGCGGCAACCCTACTCTGTGTCTATGGACAAGCCACATTTGATATCGCTGAAACCTTGATAACACCAGCAAGTCTAGAGACGGCAGGCCGAGGTGGACCTCAAGAAACCATTAAGCAAACATTTTGAGCCTCAACTCTTGCTTGTCGCCCTGCTTGCCGTTTGAGCAACATCAACCGAGATCAGGGAAATCTGCAGCAGAGTTTGTTCCAGTTTGAATCTAATCAATTATACTTTTCTTATTTTCCTCTAGATTTGGAAAAGGATTCACTGTGAAGATGCATTTGAGTAACAGTGTGGACAGCATTGAGAAGCTGACTCTATTTTTACAAACAAACTTTCCAAATACACATTTAAGGGTACATATTTTTACATATCTATACTGTGAAGTGCCTGAATGTCACATTAACAACTTAAAAATCTGGTTATATTTCTTTGGGCTTCAGGGAGATTTCTAACATGATAGAATATTCTTTCATGCACTTAAATAAGCAGAATGTCAATAAGGCTAAGCTAAAGTCCAATGATTTTTTTTTCATAGAATGTAATAATGTGAGTGCCTGTTGTTCAGTCCAGCCAGAAACTAAAAAGAGGCCAAATTATTCTTAATTAATGCTCTGATAGAAATTGTAGTATCCTGAATTAACTGTAGCATTCACAAGGTAATATTACCAGCCAAAAGTATCACATTTGTTCTATAAAATTAGAGTACAGAGTATGTTTTACAGGTTTCTTTCCTCGTTCCCTTTTAAGGATCGCACCACATTATTGTACAGGAGAAAACAGATTTTTTTTTTAAAAAAAAACACTTTATAAGATTCCTTTAGAAATTTAGTTGCGCCTGGTTCTAAGATCTTGGCAGCATAAAAAAAAGCAAAAGCTGAAGTAGTTCCTGATTAATAGGACCTACTAACACTGGAGGGTTTTTTTTATTTATCAAATGTATAAGCACATAACGATTCTGACTCTGATAGTTCATTCTCAAGCTCCTTGTAGAGTAGTTTGTAAAAACCATCCAGGATAACAGAGAAGGCCCTGTAGAATAACTTCACGTACTGTAATCAAAGAAATGGCACAATCCTATAAAAATGCCAGATACAATCAAGATTGGAAATGTGTTGTCAGATGGATAGATGGCATTTGATTTAAAATGTGCATTTGTCTGCATTAAATCTTATTCACACAGGACCATCAACTGAACATGGTGGAATATCACATCCCAGTGTCTGCAGGAGGCGTGGCAAACATATTTCAACTTCTAGAAATGAACAAAGCAGTTTTTGAAATTAAACACTTCTCTGTGAGTCAAACAACACTGGACGAGGTAAGTGAATAAAAGGTGTCTCGTTTTTTGTTGATATAATAGAATTAAACTGTAAGAAGCACAGACGTCTGGATTGCAGCTCCTGGGACATTGGATCTCTTTTCCTAGTTTGAGGCAAGATATCTTGTAATTGTTACCAGCAATGTGTGAAAATCAGTCCTTGTATGGAATGCTTAGGAATCTATAGAACGTCTGATATTTTTAGGCAAAGTTTGGAATGCCTGTGTTATTTTAATATGTTATATACTTTCCCTGGCATTATGTATAACACTTAGGCATTATGCAGAATGTTAAGAACTCTTTAGGTAAAATATGAAAAGAGACTCATGAAAAGGGTCAGGGTTGAAATTAGCCTAACCCTAACTCTTTATTGAAAACATCTATATGAAAATGAAACAAGAAATGCAAAATGAAGAACTTTCTTACTGAAAAAAACAAGGACCAAAAAACTCAGAAAAAGTCTAGGAAAGATTCCATAGATGAAAATCCTAAAGGGGAAAGCAACTCAAGAAGTGTGGGAAACTCTGAAAAAATGTGATCATAAAAGCCCAGTACAGCACAATACGACTGAAAAAGAAAAATAAGGAGTTCAAGAAGAAACCAGCATTGCTGCACAAAGATCTCTCTGGTAAACTAAAAGACAAATGAAAAGAGGGAGACGTAACTAAGGCAGAACATCAGCAGATAGCCAGAAACTACAAAGATGAAGTCAGGAAAGCGAAGGCTCGGAATGAACAAAGACTTGCAACAAAAGTCAAAGATAATTTTTTAAAAAAAGTTTCTTTCACTGTATTAATAACAACAAAAAAAGTCAAGGAAACAGTTGATTTACTAAAGAGAGAGGATGGCAAGGAAGTAACAGGCAGCAGGGAGAAAGCAGAGCTGCTTAACTCACACTTCAAACCCAAGAATGCACTAAGGCAGAACACGGAGAGAGGAACTGAGCAACTGGTGGTACATGCAGTAGAAGGCAGTGAGCCAGGTGGAGGGGAAACAAAACCACTTCATAAACGCATGGCACAATGTAGGAGAACAAACACGTGAGGACTAGATTCAGCAGTCCATCTGCCTTTAAAAGACGTTGGCTACCCTTCTGAAAAAGTCCATATTTTGGACAGAGAGGACCACTGCTTTAAAAAGGGGGTTAAAGAGGACGTTTATGTCAAAACTGAACCGCCCTCCCTCAACAGAGGGGAGGGATACTATATCATCTATGTCCACACTCATTTGCAGCACTCAGGTGACCCCGATGACACAGATAAACCTCCGGGTGGTCTTAACGATTCACTAAAAGAATGCAAATGAATATCTGTCTGCAAGGAGTATAAATCCTTCCATTTCCCACCATCCAGTCAGAGTTAAAGAAGCTTATTAGATGAGAAGTGAAACCAAAAAGTCCAGCAGCCTCTTGAAAAAAGCACCTTTGGGAGAACCATGACCTGGATGACTGAGAATTTCCACAAACATTTAGGGAAGACAAAATCAAGGAGATGAGTAGAGATTAGGCCAGACCCGGCTCAAAAACAGTAACGGAAAAGGGACCTTGGAGTCAAGGTAGATGATCATTGAACATGAGCCAGCAATACGCAACAGCAGCCAAATAAGCTAATGCAATCCTTGGTTGTATAAACAGAGGCATAGAATCAAAATCACTTGATGTATTCGTACCGCTTCATAAAGCATGACTAAGGCCACACCTGGAATACTGTAATCAATTTTAGTCACCACACTACAAAACAGATGTTGAGACTTTGGAAAAAGTTCAGAGAAGAGCAACTGAGATGATCAAAGGCCTGGAGACTAAAACGTATGAAGAATGGCTGCAGGATTTGGGTTTGGCTAATCTAGAGAAAAGAACTAGGGGTGAAACGATAACAATAGTCCAATATTTTAGGGGCTGTCCCAAAGAAGAGGGGATCAAATTATTCTCCAAAGCACCAGAGGGCAGGACAAGAAACAATAGTTGGAAACTAATCTAAGCGAGAAGCAACATGGAATTAAGGAGAAACTTCCTTAACAGTGAGAACAAATAACCAGTGGAACAGAAGTTGCCTTCAGAAGTTGCAGGTGCTTCGTTGCTGGTGGTTTTTGAGCGGGGGGGGGGGGGGGGGGGCTGGACTAGAAGACTTCCAAGATCCCTTCAAGCTCTATTCTGTCCTATCCTATTCTAACCTAACAAGGTGGCGCAGTGGTTAAATGCAGCACTGCAGGCTACTGCTAGATCAGCAGGTCAGCGGTTCAAATCTCACCGGCTCAGGGTTGACTCAGCCTTCCATACTTGCGGGGTGGGTAAAATGAGGACACAGATTGTT